TTATGAATTCAATTTGACAGAGTGGTCCCAACTAGTGGAATTTGTTCGCCACGAACTTCCGTTTTAGGAAACACTTCTGCCTACTTTGAAATAACGCATCATGGTTCCATACGCACTCATAATGTAATTCAATAATAATTTCAAGATGTCGCATCCACTTTATATCTGATGTTATTGTATTTTCTCGAGCAGAAATGTCAATTTATTCGGGTCTAATTGTCCTGTGTATTTTGTTATATGCGCGGGCAATAAATACAACGAAACCCATCAATGGTCATCAACTCACCTGAGCCAAGTAGTTGCCGTCAGATTCCAATTGTGACACTTGTGTTGCTTGTAAATCCAGCATTTGTATCATATTTGTGGCTAACGCATTGATTTGGCGAGCGACGCTTGTTAAGGATTTTGTAGCGTATGTCTTAGTTACCTTCAAGGCAGCCTCCTTGTCCTTCGACTGAAATAAATAACACAGTTAGTTCACAGCATTTTGTAGCAGACACTTGAATTCTGTCCCCTGACATTACGATTAAATATATATCTATTATTATTGGTGTAAAAACATTATGGACGGTATAATTAAGAGTTTGGTTGAAAAATTCAAGTTTCAATAACTCATGTAATGCATAGAGAATACTTGTTGCTGGATGTTTCGCCACATATTAAACCATCGACACATCCCATACTACAATCAATTACGGTGAAACATTTTCTAAAGCTAATACGTGGAAATATCTCGAAACGTTGCTTCGCATAATTAAATTGGCGCTAGGACACGCGTTAAATTTGTGTCACCTTTCACAAACTGAAACCTACTAAATTGCATTTTTACAAAATATAACCATTTACAATGAATTATATTAATAACAATATCTCAAATGAACGTGAATACAATGTATTTCGGGGTATTTATGATAAAAATGTTTATAGATGACGAAATTTACCAAACTGATATTGAGAAGCGCTCACCGAGAAGGAGGACAAAATACAACAAGGGAACAGAAAATACAACAAAACAAAGCAATAGCATTATTACGTTTTGTAGAATATCCAGCAAAATGTTTGGGAAAGGCAGTAATATTCATAAAGACTGTTTAAAAAAGATATACACAATATACGCAACTCGCACTCTTATAAGTGTCTTTTGTTCAAAATAGAATCGATAATCATTTTGTTCATTTAAGTTTATAAAAAAAACGTCGGATTTGTTTAGCTATGTTCTAATGGTAATGCAGTAGCGTTCGTTGTGTATTGTTATAGATTGTTCGACAACAAACTGAGTAGTAAATGTGACCATTTTTCATTGATTGAAGGAAAAACTTGAATTTGGTTTACAAGTACTTTTATGGTGCTCTTAATTTAGTTCGCAGCATTTTTTTTCAAATTGTGGAAGTTAGATGATTGATAAAAGTAAACCAGGAAGTTACTGTGTGAACATTGCACTACATCCAACGTGTTATTAGGAGGAATTAAGCTACGTACCTCAAGGTAGTTTTGTTCACAGTAATCGGCAACTCTTTCTAAATTTGTGTTATTGTCTCGCAAAGCTTGGCGCCAAACAGGAATTTCACTGTCGAAGAGATTATCCAGCGTTGACATGTTCGTTGAGTGTCGTAAGCAAACGTTACTTAATAAACCACGGGTTTCAGAGAAGGAATAGTTCAGAACTATAATGCGATCACGTGACAAATAATGCACGCTAATATGAGGGCGAATACATTCAGGGATGTCGGTGTCACGTGGCATGTCTGTCCGACTACGTCATCAACATATGTTTGTCATCCTCGTTCAATGGCCGAATAAACACAGCCCACACGAACTATCAATTGCATTTTTTTTTTCAATTTTCAACTTGGGAAATTTTGTACGAAATTTTTATTGAACTATTCACTGAAACTTTCAGGAAACGTTTTCTATAATTGCAAAGTACGAACGTCCAAATACAAACATTCCCATACTGATTGATTGGTTTCATTGATGTAACCTCTAGCCAATGACCAATCACAGAACGTAGTAGATACCGGGAAGCATTCGATGGGTAAATGAGATATGTTATCACCGCTATATATTCAAAACGCACGTAATACACGTTTTACAAATCAGTGAGAGTGTGCATTTTGTACTTATCCTACATCACTTCAAATTTGGATCTCCATTGCCTTGGTAATATGGTTTATGTGTTTAAACGTCTGAAGGTGGAGAAAACAAATAATCTTGTCTTTAAAATAGCTTTGTTAAAAAATAAATATAATTTTTAAAATTGTTTGTAGAACAATCGAAACGATGTTTACTATCAGATGTCCTGCCGTATTTAATAGATTTACAAAACATGTGAAATTACACTTGTTGGTTTTGTGTATTTATTTATTGTGTAAATTTCTCTTAGTTTGAATCTTTCCAATTGTATTGATGAACCAAATTGGATATAACTATTCTATAAATAGATGCAAAAGTGTTATACTCGGACCTAACGAATATCTGTTGTACAAGATTTCCAGGACGAGATCGATGATTCTTAACATACATCTGAGCATTTATATAATGTCATACTAGTCATTGAGTCCTTGATTAAACGGCCAATCAATTTCCTAGTGAATATTCAAGTGCGAGTACTCGCGATACTTCCATTAGTTTCATTTAAAAACAATGTGTATAAAGTTTCACAAGCTAGTAAGAGTCTTTCGTAAAAGTTGCTGTATATTAAATAATATATCAATTTGCAAATGTATTCTATGTGCAGTTATGCAAACAAAACACCACAATGCCGCGACAACGGCCAAACGCGTTATTTCATTTTTACGTTTTTTTGGTAAAACTTAATTATACTTAATGATGATCCAGAATACAATAAATAATGACATTTTATCTGCCCTATATGTATATGCTTTGACTCAACTGTGAAATGTACACATTCAGTGGCTATCAACTTTTCGAGGTGACTCATTTTGATTTAAAATAAACGGTGTTATCATATAAATTGATTTCCGAGTTTCATGCTCAGAGCCAAATTAGAGGGAAGATTTGACACCTATTCATCATGGTTAAGATTCATTAGATCTGCAAATATATCACATAATATGCATAACGATTGATTATTATTATTTGATTTTATTATTAGAATCAATTAGATGGGAATAATCTGGCATTGATCGATCAGCAGGTGATTGTTGAGACATTAAATAATCTCCACATAATTTCGTGGTATGAACCCACTGACACCATCTAGAAACCTGATAACCAATTTGCATCGGTAGTATCGATTACAGAGATAATATCTCCCTCTTTAAAAGACAACTCGTCGTCTTCTCTTTTTTCATAATCGTAGGTAGCCTTTACTGCAACCAAGAATATCAAATTATGTTGTGAAACCGATAAAGCAATGCCTAATCGAATGCACTGATAATCCCCCCAAAATAGTTCAGTAATTGATAAACCATATCATCTTACCTTTTTCCATATGAATTGATGACAGCCGCGGGAGCCAATTGGTATCTACAGGAGGAGCAGGCAAGGGTGCCGCATCATATTCCCCTGGCTGGGATGAATAACGTTGCTGCGGCGAAGGTGGAAGAGGCAGTTCCACTGTAAACCAAAATATGATTTATTTATTCGCGATATGTTTGTCATCATAAACGTTGGTATTAACAGTATACCTGAGGTTGTTTCGACTTAAGACCCTAACAAACGTCACGTGTGAAATGTAATAATTAGATGATATTTAATTGATCAAATTTCAGATTGAGATATTACAATGGCAATATATAGCAAAGTTATACTCACCTTCTGCAAATGAAGAAGTGCTTTGTCTTACAGAGAAGAGGTCGGGCATTGGCGGGGGTAAAGTTTCTAAGTCTGAGAGCGTATACTCTGATGACGGTTCTTTTATCTCTGCTCCAGAAATTCTCCGTGTGTCTGAAATGACCGCCTTTGGAGGCACTGCTCGGTGGGAAGATCGTTGTTCTTTTCGTTTTGATAAATCAGCCATACTTGGGGCATACTGACTCTCTTCTGTTCCCGAATCTGACAATCGTTGTGATTGTGGTGTTGATGGTGAAGGTATGGGTTGTTGTGGTTGTGACTGCCCTGGTAGTGGTGGTGGTGGTGGTGGGGGAGGTGGGGGAGGCGGTATTGGTGCATTGGAAGGGTTGCTTCCCACCACACCAGGAGAAGATGCATGGGTCGTTGATATTGTTGTGGGTGTTGGTGGTGGCGGCGGTGGCGGTGGCGGCGGTATATCAACAGAAGGAAAACCACTGTTGCTAGTTGACGTCAGTGGTTTTGGCGCTGGGCGTGATTCTTTGTCGGATGCACCAGTAGCTGAGCTTCCTTTCACGTTGTCGGTAACTGTGTTGCTCGTGATCTCACATGATACTTTCACACCATGACCAATATCGTCTAGTCGCGATTGGTCAATTGGTTTCCGAGAATATTTAATAGATGCTTCTCGAACAGATGGGAAAACAATTCTCTGTGTACGTGTGATACTACTCTTCGTTGCCATGGTTTTAATTGCTCGATTTGCTACCTCTTCTTTATGTATATTGACAGCCTGTAAGAATTGAATACGATTTGTCATGAAAATGATCGACAAAACTCCATGTACTTTACGGGCTCAATCATTTTCAAAGAGAATATCTATAATTTTTTTTCAAAATTAGTTTAACATAATTTGGCAAATATTGAAGTATACTATTGTGTTTTAGCGAATAAGTTATTTTGGAGAACTAAATTTTGGTTAAATTTTAATAAAAAGGTGATATTTTTTTTGCTGCCTGAAACATTCATTCGAAGCGATACTAAGATTGTTTCCAAAAAGTCGTCAACAATCATAATATCGAAGAATTTAACAACCGAGTAAAACTGAGATAATTTAATCTTCAAGTTGTGAACTCGACAATGCCCACTTAGTCACATTGTGTCTTTTTGACGCCACCTGTAACTTAAAATGACTGCAGGGTTTACCTCCCACAGCTTATCCTGCTACCACTCACATGAGCTAAGATGTTACCGTCAGATTCAAGATGTGCCATTTGTGTTGCTTGTAAATCCAGCATTTGTAACATATTGGTTGCTAACGTATTGATTTGGTACGCTACACTGGCTAAGGACTGGGTTGTGTAACTTTTGGTTTCTTCCAAGGCAGCCATCTTGTCATTTGACTGAAATAAAGCACACATATGTAAAACAAATATTTTATGGATGTATGTCTTAAATTAATACACTGTAGATATGTGTGAAAGTAATATAATATGCGTTAAACACAATACCGTATGGATGTATGTGAAACAATTATTGTATGAATGTATGTAAAACCAATACCGTATGAATGTGTGTAAAACAAATACCGTATAGATGTGTGTGAAACAAATACCGTATGGATGTGTGTACCCCAATACCGGATGGATGTGTGTAAGCCAATACCGTATGGATGTGTGTAAAACAAATACTCTATGGATGTGTGTAAAACAAATACCGTGTGGATGTATGTAAAACAAATACCGTATGGATGTGTGTAAAACAAATGCCGTATGGATGTGTGTAAAACAAATACCGTATGGATGTGTGTAAAACAAATACCGTATGGATGTTTATGAAAAGAATATTGTATTGTATAGATGTGTGTAAGGCAATACCGTATGGATGTGTGTAAGACAACACTGTATGGATGTGTGTAAAACAAATACCGTATGGATGTTTATGAAAAGAATATTGTATTGTATAGATGTGTGTAAACCAATACCGTATGGATGTGTGTAAACCAATACCATATTGATGTGTGTAAGCCAATACCGTATGGATGTTTGTGAAAAGAATATTGTACTGTATGGATGTGTGTAAAACAAATACCATGTGGATGTGTGTAAAACAAGTACCGTATAGATGTGTGTGAAACCATTACCATATGGATGTATGCGAAACAAATATTCTATGAATGTATGTAAAACCAAAACCGTATGGATGTGTGTAAAATAAATATAGTATGGATGTTTGTGAAAAGAATATTGTATTGTATAGATGTGTGTAAACCAATACCGTATGGATGTGTGTAAACCAATACCATATTGATGTGTGTAAGCCAATACCGTATGGATGTTTGTGAAAAGAATATTGTACTGTATGAATGTGTGTAAAACCAATACCGTATGGATGTGTGTAAACCAATACCGTATGGATGTATGTAAAACAAATACCGTATAGATGTATGTGAAACAATCAGTGTATGAATGTGTGTAAACCAATACCGTATGGATGTGTGTAAAACAAATACCGTATAGATGTATGTGAAACAAACATTGTATGAGTGTGTGTAAAACAAATACAGTATAGATGTGTGTGAAATAAATATTGCATGAATGTGTGTATAACCAATACCGTATGGATGTGTGTAAAACCAATACCGTATAGATGTATGTGAAACAAGCAGTGTATGAGTGTGTGTGTGTAAAACAAATACCGTATGGATGTTTGTGAAAAGAATATTGTGTTGTAAGGATGTGTGTAAACCAATACCGTATGGTTGTGTGTAAGCCAATACCGTATGAATGTTTGTGAAAAGAATATTGTACTGTATGAATGTGTGTAAACAAATATTAAATGAATGTGTGTAAAACCAATACCGTATGAATGTTTGTGAAAAGAATATTGTACTGTATGAATGTGTGTACAA